TTGTTGAGAGCAAAAGCTTCTGTATGTACATTTTTGATTTCCCAAACCTGAAGGAAATAAACCTAACTTTGTTTCTCTTAGGAAAGAAGACAGAAACCATTCTAAAATGCAATAGAAATTGATCATTGGTATTTTATATTTTTCAACCATTTTTCAAAAGATAGGTGTTTATTTTCTATAATTAAGAGATCAAAGTAGGCATTATTATTATTATTATTATTGCTAAGAATAATAAACAGGTTTGTCCAGTGCAGGGCAAAAAACAGAAGAAGATTGTTCCTGTCTCCTTATTTCCAATCATGCCAATAGACCAGGTTTCTTTTCAGCCTTACATAAATGGAGTCAGATGTCTTTGGTTTCTCTAGCATGTATATCTGTGTGCTCAGTCGTGTCCAACTCTCTGTGACTCCATGGACTGTAGCCTGCTAGGCTTCTCTGTCCATAGAATTTTCTAGGCAAGAATACTGGAGCAGGTTACCGTTTCCTTCTCTGGGGGATCTTCCCAATCCAGGGATCCAACCCGTGTCTCTTATGTCTTCCGCATTGGCAGGCAGGTTCTGTACCAGCTAAGCCACCAGGGAATCCCTTGGTTTCTCCTCTCTTACACAGTTGTCTGATGACACCAAATACCAACTGAAGGTATTGAAGGGTTTTAAATTTATTTGGTTTTCCAAGCAGTTCTATGAGGTAAACAATATAAAAATTATTGACAGGCTTGATGTTTAGATGTTGAAATGAAGTCCAGTGAGATTAGGCTACTTAAGGATTCACTTTGGGTGATTCCTCATGGTTCTTCCCATGCCATGCTCTTTGTAAATGAATTTTTAAATATATGTCAATTACATAATCCTTAGTCCAGATTAAGTATTTCTGGATTAATTTTAACCTCAGTGTACTTCCTGTTTTGCTCGTTAATTATATTTATGCAACAAGTACTTATCCAACTGCTTCTGTATTCTTACATTGTGCGTGCATGCGTGCATGATAAGTCACTTCAGTCCTGTCCGACTCTTTGAGACCCCAGGGACTGTAGCCCACCAGGCTCCTCTGTCCATGGGATTCTCCAGGCAAGGATACTGGAGTGGGTTGCCATGCCCTCCTCCAAGGGAATATTCCCATTATAAGATCTTCTTGTATTACAAGATGCTCATGTAGGCACAAACATTAATAATTTATAATTCCTGCCCTTGAGAAGCTGTCAGTCTAGTGAAGAAGACAGGTTACATTTTTAATGGTTTTATTGAAGTATAATTGGCATATAACAAATTATATATATATAAAGTGTACAATTAGGTAAGTTTTGACATATGGCTACATACATGAAGTCATCTTTTTGCCTGTGTTTTAATTGTTTTTTTTTTCTTTTAAATTAATTTCTTTATTTTAATTGTAGGCTGATTACTTTACAATATTGTGGTGGTTTTTGACATACATCAACATGAATCAGCCACTGGTGTAGTTGTTTTTTTACTCTTGAGTTTTGGAAGTGCTTTATATATTTTAGTAAGACTTTTATGAGGTACACGAAATAAATCTTTTCAATTATCTTCCATGACTTTTGAAAAACAGAAGTTTGTAATTTTGAAGTCCAGTTTACTAATTCAGGTTTTTGGGTTTGGTTTTGTTTTGGAGGGTTTTTTAAAAAAAATTCTTTCTGATTTGATTACTGTAGTTTTATAATAATTCATGAAATCAGTGTGAGCCCTCCAACTTTGTTCTTCTTCAGAGTTGTTTGTTGAATTTATGTACAAAAAAGCTTCTTAGGGTTTTTAAAAATAATTTTACTTATTTTGGCTGCGCTGGGTGTTCGTTGCTCTGTGCGTGCTTTCTCTGGCTGTAGTGAGCGGGGCCCTCCCTTCAGCTGTGGTGCCTGGGCTTCTCACTGTGGGAGCTTCTCTGTTTGTGGAGCACGGGTTCCAGGCACACAGGCTTCAGTAGTTGCGACTCACCGGCTTCGTTGCTGTGCAGCCTGTGGAAATCTTCTTAGACCAGGGACCAAACCTGTGTCCTCTGTATTGGCAGGCGGATTCTTACCCACTGCACCACTAGGGAAGTCCTAGAATTTTAATTAAGATTGTTTTGAATCTACAGATCAATTTGGGAAGATTTGACTTTAAAAAAAAATTTTATTGAAGAATAGTTTTAACATTGTGTTGATTTCCTTTGTACGGCACAGTGACTAAGTTATACATCTATGTATATAGTTTTTTTCATATTCTTTTCCATTATGGTTTGTCACAGGATATTGAATATAGTTCCCTACAGTAGGACCTTGTTGTTTATCCATACTTTATATAATAATTTTCCTTTCCTGTTCCCAAACTTCCAGTCCTTCTCACCCCTACTCCCACTTCCCCTTGGCAGCCACAGCCTGTTCTCTGTGTCTGAGTCTGTTTATGTTTTGTAAACATGTTCATTTGTGTTGTATTTTATATTCCATATATAAGTGATAACATGTGGTGTTTGTCTTTCTTTTCTGACTGACTTTGCTTAGTATGATAATCTCTAGGTCCATTCATGTTACTGCAAGTGACATTATTTCATTCTTATTGATGGCTAAGTAATATTTCATTGTGTGTGTGTGTGTGTGTGTGTGTGTATGACATCTTTTATCAGTTCATCTATCAGTGAACATTTAGGCTGTATCCATGTCTTGGCTATTGTAAACAGTGCTGCTATGAACATAAGGGTGCATGTATCTTTTCTTTGAGTATACTTGTCACACATTCTTTAAACTGGGACAGTTTCTCAACCTTGTGTTAGTTCACCTTGATATTTTTAAAATATATAAGCCAGTTACTTGGTAGAATATCTCTTTTTGGGGGTTTCCCAGTGTTTTTTCTTAACTAGATTCAGTTTATTCATTTTGGTAGGAACCCCACTGAAGTATGGGCTTCCCTGATAGCTCAGTTGGTAAAGAATCCACCTGCAGTGCAGGAGACCCCAGTTTGATTCCTGAGTCGGGAAGATCCGCTCAAGAAGGGATAGGCTATACACTCCAGTATTCTTGGGCTTCCCTTGAGGCTCAGCTGGTAAAGAATCTGCCTGCAATGCAAGAGACCTGGGTCCAATCCCTGGGTTGGGAAGATCCCCTGGAGGAGGGCATGAGAACCCACTGCAGTATTCTTACCTGGAGAATTCCATGGACTGCATAGTCCATGGGGTCGCAAAGAGTTAGATACAACTGAGCGACTTTCACTTTGCCACTGAAGTGTATCTTTTGAAGAGAAAAATAGGACCATAAAATCCACATACAACTTCTATGTGTAGATAACTTACAAGTTAGCCCTTCGAATTCATGTTTCCTTCACTTATGGGGACCACATCTATGGATTCAATCAACTGTGGATTGTGTAGTACTGCAACATTTACCATTGGAAAAAAATTTACAGTGTTAAGGGCACCCATGCAGTTCAAACTCACGTTGTTCAAGAATCAACTGTAGGAGAAGGAAATGGCAACCCACTCCAGTATTCTTGCCTGGGAAATCTCATGGACAGAGAAGCCTGGTGGGCTACAGTCCATGGGGTCACAAAAGAGTCACACGCAACTTAACGACTAAACAACAACAGTAACGATAAAGAAATACAAGAATTGCAAGGCTATGGCACCAACACCACTTTTACCTTCTGTGTTCTGTCTCTGGAGCTCTTTTATATGTGGTCATTTTATCATTTGAGTTGAATGTTGCATTTGTCCACAACCCTTGTATGGATTGTGTAAAGGTGAAAAATACCAAAACAGTTGTCAAATGAAAAATCTGTGATCCCGAACTGAGATGAATCTAGAGAATTAGTACATTCATCACATAAAGTGAAATGTTATTATACTCTGACCACCTTAAATAATGTAAGTGTTTTTAAGCCTTTCTCCATTGCACTTTTATGCTATTCATTTGACTGTGGAATCCTGTTGCTTGGTCTTGGAGACATTTTTGAAATAGAATTGAAATGTTTTCTTCTCTGTTCCAGATGTTTGCAATAATGTGTGACTGACTTATATTCTAACAATAAAAAGATACTTTCTCACAGGGGAAAAAATATTGAATGGAGAAAGAAAAAAAAAAAATCAACTGTACTAAAAATACCATTAATCTTAGTTGTCAATGTTGTCTTGTTTCTCTTCTTTTTTATACATGAAAAGTATTGTCTTGCTTAAGGTTTTCAGCTTTTAATTTTACTGTTTTGTAGATTCTTATCAGGCAGTTATTGAGTTGACCATAGAAGTTGGAATGAGCTTATTTAGTTAAATAGTAGAACACTGTTGACACCATTCTTTTTTATATGTTCAGGTCCCATGAATTAGAAGTCTGTGTTAAATGCCAAGCTTGGTACCTGTTCTTATCAGATGTTAATTATGCTTTTCTCCCTCCCTGTCTTCTCATGCATAATATGCTGGTTTTACAAAGCCCTTTGAAGTATTTTGCCTATTGATAGGCAAATCCTAAATTTAATCTTATTGATACTTTTCTTAGGGAATGTTTTTATATAAAATTTATTTTCTCAACAATGCAAATTGAATATTACCATCAGATTACTGACACTGAAGACAGTTGACTTTTATAAAACACTATGTACTCATAAAAGAAAAAATGAATATGACAGACTATTTTCTTTGTTGATTGGACCATTCATTCACTGTATGTTAAATATTGTGGTTGCTTCTGGAAGCATAATATTTTTCTTCATGGGAAATAATAAGTCATTAAGACTGAAATGAACATGCTCAGTCATGTCTGACTCTTTGCGACCCCATGAACTGTAGCCTACCAGGTTCCTCCATCTATGGGATTTTCCAGGCAAGAATGCTGGAGTGGGTTGCCATTTCCTTCTCCAGGAGATCTTCCCAACTCAGGGATTGAACCCAGGTCTCCCACATGGTAGGCAGATGCTTTTTTTTATCTGCTTGTTTCTGTGTTTCTTAACAGAGACCCTTTAGAAGGTGTAGTTTTTAAGAAATATTTTTTCTGAAAAATAATAGTGGCAGATTATTTGTTTCAGGTACTGAACAGTACAGTGAATACACAGGCTATGCCGAAACATACCGTTGGGCCCGGAGCCATGAAGATAGGAGTGAAAGGTGAGTTCATTTCTACTTTAGTATCACATGGCCAAAAGCTAAGGAATGTGGGCTTGACCCTGGTACATTCTGTCTTCCATCTACTCTTACTTCAGAAATATAATTTTCTTCTTAAATTCAATAGTACAGGTTCACTAGTAGTTAAAACAGATTCATCATCTCTATATACTCAGAAGAACAGAGAAAGAAAAGCCAAATATCTAAATCAAGACCAGGAAAGGCACAACTCTCTACAGGTGTCTGCTGCTAATTGTAAGCATCCAGTGAAGGTTAACTTCCAACAACAAACTTATTTCGAGTGGATTCTAATTACAACTTAAAGCCTTTAAACAGCTTTTTTAGTTGTCCTTAACTTCTGTGAGATTCCGTAAGTGGGGGAAACCTATGTTGGGACAATTTGTCTAATACCACAAAACAGTTGCTAGCAGAACCTGTGGTGAACTTTGCCGCTGCTGTCTCTTGTTTCTTATTGAAATACATTTTTACACTTTGACATTTTTGCTTCCCCAGAGGCAAATTTTTATTGAAAACAGGTGTGTGGCAAATGTATGTGTGTTTCAGTGGGAAGAGCCACTGTGGCAGAAAGAATCAGCCACCACCCTTGTAGCCATACAGCCCTATTCTTTGTAATATCTCAAATCCAGTTGCTAGTCTTTCTTTGTTTTGGATGAAACATATGGCTGCAACAGTTACTTAGGTGGATTTTTAATTCTTTATTATTATTTACAGACTAGCACGAAGGCTTCTGTTGCTGTTCTTCAGTTTGAAGCATTGATGGGAATATCATCATATGCATGTTTATAAAGAGATGAATGTATAGAATTTCATGTTTCCAAAATCACCATCTCATCCAACTTTTCCTGTCTCCACAGGCAAATTGTTATTGTTTGCTTTGATTTCTTTGCCTTTTTAAAAATAATTTTGTGCACCCAGCAGTTGAGCATAGCAGGTAGAATATTGTATTGAATTGTTACACTGTTATACTTTTTTTTCCCACAGCACTTGACTCCTTGGGACTAGTTTTTGGACAATATAGGGTGATGTTACAAACTCAGTGACTTAGAGCAGTTCTTCCAGAACAGAGGAAAGAGCTCTTGTCCAGATACAAAGGCTGGGTCTTTAGTGTTGGGAGGAAAACAAAGAACTAAATCCTTTTGGTTTGCCCACCAAATCTTTTTAACCTTGAAGACTCACTGTTAATGATGTATGTTTACAGTATGTTCTATCTTTTCATTTTACTGCTTAATGCTTTGTACTCCACAATACATGTGCCTTGGACTTCTTGATTTGCTGAGATATAAAGCCATTGGTTTGTGTGTTTGTAACGTATTAACCCCGCCAAAGTCTCCGAAACCTGCCCTGGTGGGGGTTGTTGTTTGGTGAGTGCCTTTCCCCATTCCTCCTCTCCCCCATCTGCCCTGCCCCAGGGACGACTGGCAGAGGCGCAGCACCGAAATCGTCGCCATCGACGCCCTTCACTTCAGACGCTACCTCGACCAGTTTGTGCCTGAGAAAATCAGACGTGAGCTTAACAAGGCCAGTAACCTTATTTCTTCGTTCATCTGGCAGCTGTTATCTATTTACTGCCATTTTATTAATGCTGAAATGAATGCTTTCTGGTAATTCTTGCAGTGTCAGTACGTCTGCCGACAGCTCTCCTGATTTAATGGGTCTGTCAGCTTGTACAGGATGTGCTTTCCATTTTGTAATTGTTTGATTACTGATGCCAGATAGACTGTTGCTTGATATTAAGCCCCACACATTCATTTATCTCATCAAGTACATTTAGCTGCTCTGGAACATTATCATTTTAAAACAATATAGAAATGAATGAACCTGGAAAGTTTTTTTCAGACCTACCCAATGACACTTTCTCTGCAAGGTACGCTATCAGGATTAAAACAGATAAACCATGTAAGGCAAGTCATTGTTGTTCTCGTATTGGTAAGAGTCACGTAAATTACTTATTTGGTAATTTGACATATTTATGATGGAATATGTGACTTTCTGTGCTTAGTTTTATCTCCTTTAATCATTTTCTTTTTTTTATTGTGTTACGGAAATATAAAAATGAGCTAGACCTATTGTTAGTTCAAATTTTTACTACTGTTAACCATAATAAATAAACTATCATACAATAGTATTCTAATTCTATTCTCTAGGTAGATAGGGCCTTACCAAAACTGTTGATATTTTCTTTAGTTCCTCAAATTACTCTCACAGCCAAGACTGACCCAATGTTAAAAAACATTTTTTAACTTCCATGAATAGGATTTGGTCATGAAATTCATTATTAAGATAATAAGGTTTGTGGTTTTGCATGACTCCCATGTGCCAGTCCCTACACAGACTTTGGTGATGACAGCTGACTGGGTGAAGCATTGCAAGGGAGTTGGGAGTGCTATTGGGGCGTGTGTGGCCCTCAGTATATCATCTCCACATCTTTTCCCTGGGTTTAACCAAGGATGGCCTCTGTCTGGTGCTCTGCTAATCCCAGCTCAAATGCCTTACCTTTCATGTTGTTATTAGTAAAATAACCAAATAATCCAGAAAGGCTTTTACTGTGCTTAAAACTTAAGGGATATGTCCAGTATAATTGCATTTGTTATCTTATATCCTGATGGACTCGAGAATCTAATTTGCTGTTGAGCATATTTTTAAAATATGCAATTAGGTTATTTTAACATTTGAAGTTCTCAAAGGAATCCCATAAAAAGTTTGAAGAGTAAATGCATTATTTTCCAAAATTGAACTTACATACAGATTCCATTTTTCTTTAAGTAATTCCTCAGAAAAGCTGTCCAAAAAAACTGTTGTTTGATATGTCAACAGTTATAATTTCTCTTTTATCTGACTCATGATACTAAGGAATATCTTTTAGGTACCTTTTAAATGTGAGACTGCTTTCACTATCTGAACTCTTGCCTTAAAGCAGTTATCTCCAGGCATATGGTGTTTTTATTACATAGCATATCAAGTAGAATAAGATTTTTATTTAGCTTTTCATCAAAAGTGTTTGTGAATGTGTCACATGGTCATTGATAGTAGAAGACATTTATAATCAGTGGATGTGGGGGTCCTAGGATTCCAGGGAGGCCCTAATGCAATCTAACTAGTATCCTTATAAGAAGAGATTAGGGCATACAAAAAAAAAAATAGGAGTGCATGCCCACAGAATAAATATCATGTGTGGGTCTACATGAAGGTGACCATCTGCACGCCGAGGAGAGAGGTCTTAAAAGAAACCAAACGTGCTGACGCCCTGATCTTGAACTTCTAGTCTCCAAAACTGAGAAAAGTAATGTCTGTTCTTTTAGTCACATAGTCTGTGTGGTACTTTGTTATGGCAAGAAATACATGGCAAGTTTAGAAAGACATGTGTGAAAAGGAAATGTATTTAACCATTATTGTACATTAACACACATTTCAAGATTCTTTTTTTTATGGATAATATTTATAGTCCCACAAATACTTAAATACTTTCCTGCAGAAGCTGGATCATTCACTTTTACAAATATGACCCTGGACATAAATAAATATTCTCATTTTTAATTCCCCATGTCTAACTGGTGACACCACAACTTGGAGAGCATTGTAAATTAAATGTTTACATCTCACTCTGTTTTGTACACTTCGGTTTAAAGCAGAACTCTATATTAAATCACTTCAGAGATAACTTGTACAGTGCTTTTTTTTTTTTTGTATGCCAGAAAGAAACTATACAGGAACAGAAAAACCCATTTTTCCAAATGAAGCAATAGACCAGTTTTCACCATCAGAATTCAGTGTGGATCTCTGAACTCTAGGGGGCTTGCTACTTTTAGGCATTACTCAAGCTTCCCAGGTGGTGCAGTGGTAAAGAATCTGCCTGCCAATGCAGGAGACATGGATTGAGTCCCTGGGTTGGGGAGATCCCCTGGAGGAGGAAATGGCAATCCGCTTGTATATTCTTGCCTGAAAAATTCCATGGACAGAGGAGCCTAGTGGACTATAGGCCATGGGGTTGCAAAGAATCAGACAAAACTGAGCAACTGAGGACATACACACACAACAGATAACAATTGAAAGGCAATCCCACAAAGTGCTTTATTGTCTCTGGAAACAATTGACTCTATCCAGGCCCCTATCCTATTGGATCCACACCATGACCGACAAGAAGAGTTGGTTTTTAAAGGGAAGAGTCAGACTCCTTTTATCTAACTGATACTGTGAAGCTGTGTTTTAAACCTGTGAGAGATCAGCTAGGTAACATTCTCCAGGAGAACTGTCTTTGGATTGGAAAGATTTATGACTCCAGGTTGCAAAAGTGGCAAATAGCTCAGCAAAGGAAGAGGGAAATCATCTGTGGAAAGTTGTGTTTAGCCGTGTTAGACTCAATCCAATAAGATTAAGTAGTGAGTATATTCTGTGGAGTCATCTGGATTAGAAATTTAACAAAGTGAGGAGATCACCTGGGCAGGAAATTGCCATTTACCTTTTAAAAACTGATATATTGATTTTGTTGTTTTTGTTATTATCACCAAATTCAGGAATGGATTGTTACAGTGCTTGATTAACAAAACCAATCAGTCCCTGCTGTTGATAGTTTCAAAGAAGTTCCACATCTGATCATTTATAATTTTTTCTTGAAGTCTGTGTTACTTTACTTTTCAGGAATATTGGTTCAAAATGTATCATTTTTAGTGAGTTTTCCCTTCAGTTTCTCAATGTATAGAATCAGAATAACCATAGAAATATATAATCTAATCTTTGATTTCATATATGGGAAATCTAAGGTCTAAATGATGTTTTCATTTTATATTGCATCTTGAAAAGGTAACATCTATTTACTAAGGTTAGTTATTTTAAAGACAAAAAATCATCTATAATTTTGCCTTTCAAATAATTGTTTTCATTTTTGTAGGACTTTCCATATAAATATTAAGTTTCATATAAATGTGTTCCAAAGTGACATAAATATTGTATTTATTTAATTTATCCATAATTATATTTTTCATACTTTCTAATGATCTTCATAATAATATGTTTAATGGCCATAAAATTAGTTGGATTGATATACGAGGCCTTAGCTGATATACTAAAACTTAGCTATTAGTTTTTTAACTAAACTAATAGGTGGTCCCAGGGATCTCTTTATTATGTGCAATGTAGTAAACATCTTTGTGGAGCTTCCCTTCTGGCTCAGATAGTAAAGAATCTGCCTGCGGTGCGGGAGACCTGCGTTCAATCCCTAGGTTGGGAAGATCCCTTGGAGAAGAGAATGGCTACCCAACCCAGTACTGTTGCCTGGACAATCCCATGGACAGGGGAGCTTGGAGAGCTACAGTCTGTGGGGTCGCAAACAATGAGACATGACTGAGCAACTAACACTTTCACTTTAAACACCTTTGTACAGTTATTATTTAATCAAATAAAAGAAATTTACAAAGAAGAAATTTATAAAATTGTTACTGAATCTAAGGATAATTTTAAGACTTAATATTACTTTATTCTCTTCTAAAAGATTCTTCAGTTCAGTTCAGTCGCTCAGTCGTGTCTGGCTCTTCGACCCCATGAACTGCAGCACGCCAGGTCTCCCTGTCCTTCACCAACTCCCAGAGTTTATTCAAACTCATGTCCATTGAGTTGGTGATGCCATCCAACCATCTCATTCTCTGTCATCCCCTTCTCCCACTTTCAATCTTTCCCAGCATCAGGGTCTTTCCAATGAGTCAGTTCTTTGCATCAGGTGGCCAAAGTATTGGAGTTTCAGCTTCAGCATCAGTCCTTACAGTGAATATTCAGGACTGATTTGCTTTGGGATGGACTGGTTGGATCTCCTTGCTGTCGAAGGGACTCTCAAGAGTCTTCTCTAACACCACAGTTCAAAAGCATCAATTCTTCAGCGCTCAGTTTTCTTTATAGTCCAGCTCTCACATCCATACATGACTACTGGAACAACCATAGCTTTGACTAGATGGACCTTTGTTGCCAAAGTAATGTCCCTGCTTTTTAATATGCTGTCTAGGTTTGTCATAGCTTTTCTTCCAGGGAGCAAGCGTCTTTTAATTTTATGGCTGCAGTCACCATCTGCAGTGATTTTTGGAGCCCAGAAAAATAAAGTCTGTCATTGTTTCCATTGTTTCCCCATCTATTTGCCATGAAGTGATGGGACCAGATGCCATGATCTTAGTTTTCTGATTGTTGAGTTTTAAGTCAACTGTATCACTCTCCTCTTTCACTTTCATCAAGAGGCTCTTTAGTTCTTCTTTGCTTTCTGCCATAAGGGTGGTATCATCTGCGTATCTGAGGTTATTGATACTTCTCCCGGCAATCTTGATTCCAGCTCTTGCTTCATCCAGTCAAATATTTCTCATGATGTACTCTGCATATAAGTTAAATAAGCAGGGTGATAATATACAGCCTTGACATACTCCTTTCCTGATTTGGAACCAGTCTGTTGTTCCATGTCTGGTTCTAACTGTTGCTTCTTAACCTGCATATACAGATTTCTCAGGAGGCAGGTAAGGTGGTCTGGTATTCCCACCTCCTTAAGA